GGGGCTGCGGTGTGCAGAGGAGGAGTCACACACCCCTGCTGGCCACGCCCGCAAAGCACTGGCACCGGGCCGGGCTGCTGGGCCGGGTCACTGACCCCCAGCAATCCGAGAGGGGGGTGAGCTCATCGGCCTTTTCTGGGAGGGAAAACTAAGGGTCAGAGTGAGTGAGTGCTGGCCCCGGGCACGGAGCCGCAGGGTGGCAAGGCCAGGAAGGACGGCCTTACGTGATTCGGGCCAAGATGTGGGCTCCCTCCCTCTGTCAGGGAGCCGCTGGCCCCCAAAGCACTGCTCCAGGCAAGGAAGAGTCAGCCTGGAGCCCTCAGGAGGCAGGAATGTTCACACAGGTGGAGAGTGTCACCTGGCGGAGGAACGGGCAGTGGCCCGTGGCCCTCCCGACACCCAGGGGTCCTCCCCTGCCCCCGCCCCCCACGGCGTAAACCCCACTGGGCAGGTGAGGAAGGCGAGGCTCTGAGTGGCCAAGGGGCTTGTCCGGGGTCACACGGTGAGACACAGGGTGGTCCTAGCAGAGACGGGGTGGCCCCTCCTACCGGCACAGGGCCCTGGGGGGCAGGGCCGACGTCGAGGCCAGCCCGCCCGCCCCAGCTGTGCAGCCCGCGGGTTGGGTGAGGTCGGGCCGGGTGCAGTGACAGCCCCCAGTTCTCAGCGGCTTCTCCCAGTGCAGAGTCCACTGTGTGTCTGGGTGGCTCTCCAGGTAGCGGTCCTCGTGCCTCGGCCGGGCCTGGCTGCCGCCTTTTGAGGCTCCGCCATCTTGCACAAGGACCTCGGGTTGCCACGGAGGGGACAGGAGCACATGAAAGAGTCCCACCTGCTTTTCTCAGGCTCGGCCCAGAAGTGACATCTCTCCGCTCCCAGCCATCAGTCAGAGCCAGCCGCACAGCCCTGCCCAGCTACAAGGGGGCTGGGCAGTGCGGGGGGTGGAGGGGCCCAGACCGCCTGGCGAGCAGTGGGCATTTCCGTGCAGAGGGACCGTGTGGAGCAGGGCGCCCCACGAGTCTGATCAGAGGAGAGGCAGCAGGACTCGGAAGGCCCCTGGGGTCCGTAGCTGGTTTCCATGTCGGGGAGCCCCGCCCACAGGGGCCACGCCCTCACCTGGCCCTTTTCCAGGTGTGCGGTACCTGTACCTCCTGTCCAGGTCCCTGGGGCCTGTCCGCACGTGGCTGGTGCCCCCGGCCTCCGCCTCCTCACCGCTCCCGCGTGCACAGGCGGGGACCAGACGGGCAGACAGGTGCGTCTCCGTCCTGGCATTTCTTCCCGTGTCACTCCCGCCCCACGAGGCGCTGTGATGAGCCGCCACTCAGGCTCCCTCAGTGAGGCGGGTCGCAGATGGACCAGCTTCCCCAGGTGCAGTGGCACCTGCTCGTCACCCGTCACCCACGGCTGCGGCGCGCTGTTTTCTGACTCGCGTGGAGGTGGCTGCGGAGCCGGGGAATCCCCGGAGAGCGGGGCCCTGCGCCCCCTGCTGGAGGCCGCGGCTCCCGCAGCCCGGCCACCGGGCTGTGTGTCTGCAGGTCCTGGAGCCCGGGCAGTAGGGTGCCACAGCGAGGAAGCCCAGGTGGCATCACTTCCCAGCCACGTGCTACACGGTGGGGACAGGGGCCGCAGGCGCCCGTCTGCTGCTGCCCTCACACTCGCGTCTGCCTGTGCCCGGCTCTCGGGTCTGAGGGCAGTGGTCACGTCACCTCTGAGCCTCGGGGCCTCGTCTGCACAGCCGTGCTGTCCGCAGGACTCCACGTGAGGGCTGCTGTCACTCTCGCTTTTGGAAGCCCTCCACCCCGCCCAGCCCCAGGCCTGGAGAGCTGAGCGGAGTTCCAGGCAGCAAATGGATGAAATTTGCATTTTACGTATATTTAGTCTAACATGGATTAATTTGGGGTTTGCAGTGTTCTTAGGTTAGAAGTAGTAGCTCCCCTCAGTATTCCAGGGGACCCTTGACCCCTCTCTTTCCTATCTGATGGGGGTCCCGGCCCTGGGCGGGTCTGAGTCTCCTGGTGACAGGCTCTGTCCTGTCCTTCCTTGGGCAGCAATCCAAGGAGTCCAGAGAATGCTCCCAACTGCTGATCCAGTGCTGGCACACCCCCGACCCCGTCCGCGCAGCCGAACTGCCCCCTGCTCCGCACCCACCTCACCCCCGTCCGCCCGGCCCTCCTCCTCTGCACCCACCTCACCCCCGTCCGCCCGGCCCTCCTGGCCCCTGCTCCGCACCCACCTCCATTCGGTCTAGATGGCACATGCAGGGTTCCTCCAGCCCCAGGGCCTCTGCCCACGCTCTCCCCACTGTCCGTAGAGCTCCTCCCTCCCAGCCTAAGGTCGTGGTCCCCACTCTTCCTTTGGATCTGGACTCAAGCGTCACCCCCAGGTCATTCCACCTGCCCAGGCTGCTACAGTGCTGCTGGTTCCTTCCTCCCAGCGTGGTCGCCCCTCTGACGCAGTGGTTTGTGGGATAATAGAGTGAATATCTGTCCCCGACTAGAGCCTATGCTCCCTAAAAGCAGCGCTGGCCATGACTTCTCGCCATCCTGTCCCCAGGCCCGGACATGTCAACGGTGCTCACTAGATGTCTGATGAAGGTCAGGCTCGCTCAAGGTGGAAGCTCACGGCATCAGGCAGCGGGGTACAGGCCAGGTGGGCTTCTGGCCTCAGGGCATTGAGCGTGGAGCTCAGCGCAACCCCCCGCCCCCCTGGGGGACCCAGGGTCCTCGCTGCTGGAAGGAGCCGCACAGGGAGGGCTCTGGGGCCTCTCGCTTGGCCCCAGGCTCCCTCTTGGCATCAGGCAGGTTAGTGACGACCCAGCAGGCTGCACTTGGCTCCGATCACTGCCATGTGCCTACCTGGCTGCCCCTTCTAGCTCATTCAGAGGTGCCCTGGAATCTCAGCCTGGCCATGTCCAGGAGGGGCATGGCCCGCCTCCCCTTCGGGCCAGAGTCCTAGGTCTCAGTGGCCAGATGTCCACACTTCTCCGAGGAGTTTGAACTGGATGAAATGCCTCTCCGGGCCCCCAGTCTGTGACCAGCTGGCACCTCACAGGCTAGGTTCTCTCGAGCTGTCTCCTGAGAAATGAGGGAACCCCCGACAGCGTTTGTGCGTTCTCATTCAGCTCTCACGCCTCTGGGAAGAGCTATGGTTGGTCCTCGACTTGGAAGAGAAGACAGGTCTCCAGCAAGAAAAAGCCTCTTTAGGGGCAATGTCGGTGGAGGTTTGGGGTGTGCTTCAGCTTTGAGGAAGCACAAGGCCTCCCTCCTCAAGTGTCCCTGCGGGTGCCCCACCTGCTCGGCTGGCAGCCACTAGAGAGCAGGCTCTGCCCTTATGGATTCTCTACACCTCTGGCAAAGCCGCCTCCTCCATGAAGCCTTCTCTGGTCACCCCACCCCATGTCTTCAAGCCCAGCGGGTGAGCAGTTAGGACACTATCTGAGAGGCCTGCTCTTCCTGCTGCCTCCTCCCCTCTGTGGGGTCTCGGCGGGGACTGTGGCCCCTGAGCATCCCTGCCCCTGCCTCTTCCCGGCCCTCACACCCCCCGGCCCCGTGCGCCCCCTCCATCGCCGCCTGGATTCGTCTTGTTTGTTCGTCGGCTGCTTGTCCGCCTTCTTCTTCAGGCCGTGAGCTTCCCATGGCGGGGCTGGCTTCTCTGGGTCACCACTGCGTCCTGGACTTGGGTCAGTGCCTGGCACAGGGTCCTTTACGGCGTGAGCAAGAGAATGGCATTTGGGCATTTGAGGC